TTATTATACATAATAAAATATAGAAATGTTTTTATCTTTTTCAGGAGGGGAAAGGCCTTCTTAATCGAGATCCCAAATCCAGAATTGATTAGAACAGCAACAACAAAAAAAATCCCATACCAAAACAACCTATACATATATATTAAATGCTAAGGTTTTGCTTTCATCTACTAACTCATTTAATCCTCACAGCAACAGTATGAGGTGGATACTCTGAAAGTATTCATTTTACAGACATGAAACTGAGGCACAGATAGACTAAGTATCTTGCCCAAAGCCACAGAGCTAAATTGTCTCTGTCTGAGCCCAGGCAGCCTGGCTTCAAAGTTCATGCTATGCCTCTCATAGTGTACTTTTCTCATACTTGGAAGATTTGCCTAAATATAAAAAACCATTTTTGCATTGTAAAAGAAACCAAAGTTAAAGAACAAGAGACAGACAGAGAAAATAGGGGTAATATCTCTAATCTACAAAGAGATGCTAGAAATAAAAAAGAAAAAGACAAAAGCTCCAAAGAATATGCAAAAAACATAAATTGATAGGCAATTCATAGATGTTCAAAGAGCCAATGAACATATAAAAAATGTTAAAGAAACACTACAAAGAAATTCATATCATTCAACAGTGATACTTTTTACTCTTCTACTCTGAGAGAATTCAGAGAATACACAGCTGGTTAAAATGGAAATTGGCACTGTAGGGCTTGTGCTAAATTGTCAGCATCTATCAGTGTTTATAATGCACATCACCCATGACACCTAAATTTTACTCCTAGGAATATACTTAATTAAAAAATAAAGTAGCACTACGAAGTAAAGATAGAGGTTTAAAAATATTCATCAATCCAGTCTATAACACTGGCCAAAAAAAAGAAAAAAAAAAGTCAGAAAAACCATCTTCAGGAAGTTAAATATTGTACATGACAAATTATAGTATATCCATACAATGACCCATTAGGCAGTCATTAAAAAGAATTAGAATGATCTAAATGTTGTACTCTGATGTGAAAATATTTCTATAGTATCTATGTATGTAATGTTTGTATAACAGGAAAATATCTGGAAGGACGGTCACTACACAATTATCAAATGCCTTTCTGGGACAGAGATAAGGAGCGGGCATATTCTTACTTTTATACCTTTTATTAATGTGGTGGGATTATGGGTAGTTTTTTGTTTATTTATTTTCTATTTTTGTTTATTAACATAAATATATTGGGTTGAGTAAGACATTTTTAAGAAGAAAACCAGATCGAAATCTTAATAGTATTATGTTTGACTGATACGATTCTATATTAAACTTATCTTTTCTCTTCTTTTTTTGTATTTATTTTATATCAATTTCCTCTACCTGCTGTTTTGATAAATCTTTGGCTTTCTTGTATAACTATAGGGTTTTTTTTGTTTGTTTTGTTTTTTTTAGCAGCTGGCGGGAAATGGGATCAGAAAACTTGACCTTGGTGTTACAACACTGCACTCTAACCAACTGAGTGAAACAGCCAATTCTATAGTATTCTTTTTTGTTTGTTAATTTGATTTGCTGTAAATGATAAATTGTGTGGTTTTTTCTTGTTTTGTTTTTAGTTTCTTGAAGCTGTGCCAAAAAACACCCAGAGCATTGAAAATGTCAAATTTCTGACTTCATTTTGCCTCCTGCTGTTTTTTTTAATAGAATTCTCCTTGCCCAACTACTTCCTAGAAGTCTTCTTCTAACTTTCTGTTATAGTTTCTTGAAGCTGTGCCAAAAAACACCCAGAGCATTGAAAATGTCAAATTTCTGACTTCATTTTGCCTCCTGCTGTGTTTTTTAATAGAATTCTCCTTGCCCAACTACTTCCTAGAAGTCTTCTTCTAACTTTCTGTTAACATAAAATATGTAAACAAGAAAACAATAAGAGATAAGGAAAAGGTTTAACAGAATGCAATTCCTAGGGAGGTTGCAACAGAGTAATGAATTTGTAAGGTCTAAGCATTAATCATTCAAGGACTGGGCAGGAAGTTCCATCTCTTGTAGAAACAACGAATAAATTAGAATTGAGTGCACTGCAAGGCTGTGGTGTGGGAGTAATCAACTAATAGTATCTGAGTTTAAGGACTCAATGAAGCTTGGTTGTTTTTAGTTGCAGAAGTACTGCGATAATTTTATGACTTGCAGGCAAAATAGAGCACATAAGAATTCACCAACTGCTGGTGCTGGTCATGGAATAAAACAAAAAAATGAAGACATCTAGGAAAATAAAGGCTTTTAGCCAGAAAAGGGCAGTTTGGGATAAATTAAAGAGTGGTATTGCCTATTGAGATAAATTTCTGCTACTCTTAGGACATTTCTTGGGGCATATTTCTTGGAACAAAGTCACACAAGATAAATTGAGAGGGGGAAGGGATTTGGAAAACATTGCCTCATAGTAGCTAGTCTTTTGAGACTTACTATGCATAATTAGCATATTAAAAGTTCCCTGCCGCCTTCCAATAAAGAAACCTTTTTAACATTGTTTAACTCGATGTTTCCCAAATTTATTTGACCTTGGAGCCCTTTTCTCATGTAACACCCACTTATTTAAAACATCTCACAGAACTGTGTTCTTAAGAACACTCTCTGGGGAATGCTGTACAAAGATAAAAATGTAATAAATACGATGTAAAATTTTTTTAGTGAAAAATATTGTTAACAACTTTATAAATTACTTTAGTCCTTTATCAATGGAAAATTTCAGCTGTTTTATTACCACATTTTATGAAAATCATATACTACCACAGTATTTATGGATTTGCAGAGCTGGGATTATCTCAGACTGCATTTCCTGCAAATAATAAGTCTATACGTTTTTCAGAAAGGGAATTGGATTAAGTTGTTAAGTATAAATAAACATTTCTTTGCATTTTACAAGGTAAGAAGCTACATCTGGCCTTAGTTCTCTCAAGTTTAAAGTTAATAATAATTACTATCTTCACTATCAGAGACACGGTGAAAAAACAAATCATAATTCTGCTCCTTAATTTAAAGCATTACCTGTACTAAAGAAATCTTCTGGAAGCTCATCTCCACAGTATCTGAAAGGGAATTTTTAGAGAGGTCACATGAATGAATATTATACAGCTATTGAAGCAGCTCTTACTAATAATTAAAATAATTTCCCCTAAGTAATGGCTCATTTTTCTATAATATTTTTTTACTTGGATTTGCAAAGGAGAAGAGGGGTTGAAACAAAGTTTGTTGTTTGAAATAAACTTCCCACAATATTAAAGAGATTTTTAAGAAAAGATTTGTGGCATTTCCTACTTTGTGTACCTACAAAACTGTTTATGCAGTAGTTAATTTGAATCTACTTGGAAAAATTTAAAATTTGTTTCTGATTAATTTTATACAGTTCTCTTTACAGTTAAAGAAGAATGGGTGTACGATTGTTGGTATTAATATTTTGAATTCTAGGATAGAATGATTTAAATGTGAAAAAATTATGTTGGACCTTGTAGACATAAAAGGGTTTGATTCTTATCTGAATCATGACTTGAAAGGAAATCCCTTGCACATTACATAAAAAGGTAAATGCTTTGTAAACTTCTAAAAATGTAATTTATTCCAAAGGAGGTAAAAGGCTATCATAAAGGTAAATTATATAATGTAAATCTAATAAATAACAAATTAGTCTCTTGAAAACCTAAAAATGGTAGTTTATGATTTTATTTAGGGCTGTAATTAATTTCTGACACTAGGTTTAGAATAAACAAGTCATTTTAATTTCCAAGGTATGTGGTCCGGTCTTTCAAAAAATATCTCATTCTTTTTTTTTTTGTCCTTTTTGAGACCTGCTGCACCGCCCTCAGCCAGTGAGCACTGTGAGTGCACCAGTCATCCCTCTATAGGATCTGAACCCGCGGCGGGAGCGCTGCTGCGCTCCTAGCGCCGCACCCTCCTGAGGGCGCCATGGGCTCGGCCCCCCAAAATACCTCATTCTTAATTCCCTTAACCCTACTTTCATTTTCATGTATTCATTAAACTACTTAAAAAAACTATTTTTTTCCATAGTGGTAGTCTGTCAGCCAAAGAACAAAACAAAACAAAAAACACTTTCCCTCTAAAAACTGTTGTTCATATATGCAAGAAATACCTTTGTTTTTCTTTGTGTTGGAGTTATATATATGAAAGTCAACAGAAAAAGTTGAGTCTGTCATTTTTAATGGTCTCCACTCCTATTTTCTTTCATTTAAAATTACTATCATGTATGATAGAGAATTGGTAGTTGACAATCTACTGATAATTGATAGTCTAAAATATGGGTTATTAAGCAGGGGCCTGGATATACAAAACATCTAATTGTACACTCTTTAATTTTGCAATTTTTTGTAAGGTACTCAAAATTTAAACTATGTTAAAGATTTAGGGTGGAAACACAAAAAAACTCTGTCCCAGCATGTTGAAAAACCAAGAGAAAAATATTGAGGAAGGGAGCACTTGTTTTTTAAGGCAAAGAAAGCTATTTTTAAAAAGATAAGTCATTGTACATTTAGCTAGACTGTATGAGAGGAGGGGCTATACTTTGCTTGTTTACCGTACATACATAGTACTTAGCACAATTCTTTGTACGAAGAAGAAAGGCAACAATGTCTACATTTATAATCATTTTTATGGGGTTGACAGAATTTAGAACACTTAAAAACCCCAACAGATTTTTCAATTTACATATCTCTTTATAAATCAACTTACATATGTATTGCTAGTCATCTTGAGGATTTTATAAATAATGAGTTCTTAAATCTTAATAATCAAAAGACAGCTATCACTATTTTAATAATAAGTACATGTGGCAGCCTGCTAAGAGAAATCTTTGTTGAAAAAGGATAACAAGTTGCAGGAGAGTTTAGAAATACTGGAAAATCCATATTGTAGGGACAGTGGAGGGAAAATTTAACACAAAACAAAATATTGGACTTTCATTTAACTTCATGTATGGGGAAACAACACATACCTTCCCACAAAGCCATGGACATCATCATAACTGTCATATATTTCAACATAGTCGGACAAACAACCTGGGTCATCTTCAAGATCAAAGTTCAAAAAACGCAGGTGAATACGCTGACCATACTTAAGTCTAATGTGCCAATAGCAGACTTGATTATCATCATACTCATTTGGGAAGCCAGGAGATTTAAAAATTCGCTTTGGTTCTGTAAAAACACCACCACATTCCTTTGCTAAAATGGAAAAAAAAAAAAAAAAAGGAAGGAAAAAGAATGCATTAAGAAGAAAAATCCCTATTTAAAAATGGTATTCACTTCTTAGCCATCTATTTATGACTTTTTATAAAATAAAATAATGGCTTAATATACACATCTATAGTATATTATGTATGCTTATAGCTAAAGAATAAACAGATTTTTTCATCAATGGTTTCTAAATTCTCTAATATAAACTGGGACTAAGTACAGAGAAAAAAACAGTAATTTAATTAATTGTGCATCTGTTTACATCTCTTAAGGCACAAAGTGTACAAGTCTTTTGTGTATGCTTCTGTGTATTTTGACAAATACGTATACACCGAAGTCACTGATGGCCCAATCAAGTTGATAGGGATTTTGTCCTGTGGTATCACCACTGTGTCTTGGGGGACTCAAACCCTTAGAATGAATCCCACAAATTCTGTTTGGAAAATCATCATAGAATTTCAGGATCACAAGGACCTTAAAGTTCACTGTAATCCAATTAAAAGCAATAACTTATAATCATTCTGTACTTCCTATACTGGTTTTAAACTAACAACCTAATCCTAATATTTCAAGGTTTGGTGGAGATACTTATGTTTGTTTCTTCCAAGTCATTCGTCATTTTATAGATTTCAGTATGTTGTAACCTATCCTAAGAAAAATAAACAAAACAAACAAAAACCTCTGCCAAGCTGGCTGGTTAACTCATACACCAATGTCCAGTATTTGATCCAGCCAAAAAAAACCCACCTCTGCTAGAACTAGTGATTTGCAATTTGCAATATGACTCAGAGGGAAAGCTGTGAAGGAACACTGGTCCCCGTTAATTCTAATTCTGTATCAGGAAAGTGTCTAGTGTCTAGGTAGAACCTGGATACTCAAAAACAACCTGTGTGGTGGTGATGATGATTCTGAATATTTGAAGATATTTTTTATTGTATCGATTATTATTATTATTATTATGTTTTTTGGTGGCTGGTCAATATGGGGATCCAAACCCTTGACCTTGGTATCATTACACTGCACTCTAACCAACAGAGCTAACTGGCAGCTCTATTGTATCAATTAGAACCTTCTCCCAGGAATATTCTCTTTTAAGATACTTATTTTTAAAAAATTGTGTTAGAGTCCTTAATGCCATAGAAATTAAGGAGGCTTATTTACTCAAGGCAGAACAGGATCTTAGAAAGGCTGGGGAGCAAGAAAAGAAGGTGAAGGATCTAGTTGAGCTCTGTGACCACTGTACACATCATTTTCTTCATTGATAAAATAATGTAACCATGACTCTCCTGTTACCTACTGCACATGGTTATTCTGAGGATAAAATATAAAAGATAACTTAAGGATATTACGCAAATATAGGTTAATCCTGTATAATGAAATATTATATAATACCTAGTTTGCATGTATACACAAGCATATGCATTGCCATCTTTTGGAGTGACTGGCTTGTCCCATAGCATCCTATTTTTTTATTTTATTTTATTTATTTTTATTTTTTTATTTTTTTTCAAAAGATGACCGGTAAGGGGATCTTAACCCTCGACTTGGTGTTGTCAGCACCACGCTCAGCCAGTGAGCAAACCGGCCATCCCTATATGGGATCCGAACCTGTGGCCTTGGTGTTATCAGCACCACACTCTCCCGAGTGAGCCACAGGCCAGCCCCATAGCATCCTATTTTTGTTGTATATAACATTAGGAAAAAAATTCAAATATTGAACTAATCTGATTGCCTATTTAGCTATATCCATTCAGTTCTGTATTTTATGTTTCATATTGCATCGTCTATTGCTTATTTTTCTTTATTTATTTTTAAAAGATGACCGGTAAGGGGATCTTACCCCTTGACTTGGTGTTCTCAGCAACACACTCTCCCAAGAGAGCCATGGGCCAGCCCTGTCTATTGCTTATTTAGAATATGACAGATTCACAAAGCTGACTGGGCCTCTGAGGACTGTTAATTGGTTAAAAAATATTAATACATTAAAGGCAATCAACATCATGTTATACATTCAGAACTTGAGATGAGCAAGTTTACTTCTAAACATGAGCAAGTTTATTTCTAAACAATTCTTTTTTTTTTTAAGATAATCGGTAAGGGGATCTTAACCCTTGGCTTAGTATTGTGAGCACCACGCTCTCCCAAGTGAGCCACGGGCTGGCCCTTCTAAACAATTCTTGATAACTCCATTTCTTATTTCATTCAGCTATAACTTGGTGATATTGATAATCAATAATCACTGCTTTATTTTTTGATACTTTTATGATTTTTTTAAAATTCCAATTTTGTTTCAGTAAACTGTTCTAGTGCTAGTTCAAGCAGTCCAAAGTCTCCAAGTTAACCACAACCTCAGCATATCACTGAATCTAAAAGCAAGCTAAATACACTAAGAATTGGGTAAGAGCAAGTCTCCCAGGATTCTGTGCACATATTCCCAGAGTCAAAACTATTCAGCCGCTATGAGAAAAGACAGCAGCTTACAAGAATTTATGAGAAGGCATTCTTATAAAAGGGCGATGGAATACTGTAGGGACACTTTCGTTAGTCCTTCCTCATTTACTCTAGACTTTGACCTATGGAAATGATCGAATAGGAGCTCAGAGATACTCAGGTTTATGAATCAAAAGAATCAGAGGATATATTTGAAAAGAAAAGTTACTCTTGAAAGTCAAAAAGAGAGTTGCCTACATAAATATACTGAAGAAGTAAGAGACGGGGATGGCCAGTTAGCTCAGAGTTGGTCAGAGTGCAGTGTTACAACACCATGGTCAAAACCTTACTGGTCAGCTGTCAAAAAAAAAAAAAAGAGTAAGAGAGGGAGGAAAAGAAAATATACTATTAATGTAACTAAATAAGTTGGTCAGAGTGCAGTGTTACAACACCATGGTCAAAACCTTACTGGTCAGCTGTCAAAAAAAAAAAAAAAAGAGTAAGAGAGGGAGGAAAAGAAAATATACTATTAATGTAACTAAATATAGGACTAAATATAGTATAGTATAGGACTAAATAAACTTAAAGCATGTCAAAGTGATTTAAAAGTTACAGTCCTATATAAACACACTGTAAGTGCATTTTGTCTCAATTGTGACAAGGTGAGAGCTCTAGGCAAAATCCTTCCTTCTTGGAACATATATAACTTTGAAATATAGGTTAGTTACAGACATAAGAAACTGTTCTCCAATTATTAATATCATTAAATAAAAAATTTTATAATAATGTGCTATTATAACTTCATTATAACTCTCCTACTGGGTTACAAAATTTCTTGTAAGGCAGATCCAAATGATATATAATATGAGGCTGTTTATGATCATAAATGATGGAAAGACTTTGTAACACATTATAACACTTTGTAACATTGTCCTGGGAAAAATATATTCCAGAACAACAGTTTATTTTTTCTCCAAGAACATGAACAAAGAATAATTCTTTATAGTAATTATAATAAGTTAATTTTGTCATTAAATATTTCCTAGTTGCAAGCAACCATGGGGAAAATACAAATAAAAGTAAACTATACAATAATAATTTGTATATACAGTACATAATTGTTAAACAATAGAATGAGGGTTGCTTAGTTTGGAAGTCTAAGCATTCATGCAGGAAAATAAATTGGGGGAAGAACTTGTTTATTTTGTCTCCTTTTTCCCATTCTGTCAAAAGGATAATTTTGAACAGTTAACATTTGTAGCATCACTTTATTATTTTAACTAATTAACTATAACAAATTTATAACCTGGTTTTTTTGTTTGTTTTCTCTTTGTGGCCAGGAAAACTCATGGCACAGAAAAGACCTGGATTTCCTATCCCACCCACCTACTAGTTGTTGGGTAATTTAATTATTGGGTCTGATTTTGGGTAAGTTACTTAACAACTCTGTAAGTTTCAGTTTTCTGATTCCTAAAATAGGTATAACAACAGCTCCTTGTAGAGTTGTGGATATTAAGTGAGAGTGAAGATTAAGGAACATAACAGTATATATATATATATATATATATATATATATATATATATACACTGTATGAATGATACTTTTGTTAATAATTATTACCTAATTGGATTATTTATAGAAGAAGAAGCAATTTATTTTTAACAGCCTCTTACTAGCATGTAACTGTTTTTGCAAAACATAAATTTTTAACAAACCATGTGGGTTGTAGCAATAGGCATCCCATTTTTCACTCCTATTGAGACGGATTCCATAGTCAATGATACCAGTTTTTCCAAATCCACAGTTGGGCCCTGGCTTCACAATGGGGTACCCAACTCTGCCCTTGGCCATCCATCCAGCAGCACAAACATGAAACCCTGCAAGAGGAAGAAAGGTTATGTACTTAACTGGTAAACTCCCTCAGGTGAGCACAGTGGCCATCTTTATGATAACCACTTCCAGCAGTAAGCTTCTCAACGCCCACATCCAGTTCATTCAAAAGGAGAAAAAACTGTTTTCTTAAAAACTAAAAAAATGTTTGAACAAACATAAAATATAACTTCTGACTTTTACTAGAAAACTACACCTTAAAAAGAAAGATGCAGATGGACTAGAAATCATAGGCCAGCCTGGTGGCGCACTGCTACAGTGCGCCGCTTGGGAAGCGTGGTGGCGCTCCCGCCGAGGGCGTTTCACAATGGCCTATCTAGTGCCATGAGATAATTTCTTTTTTTTTTGTCTTTTTTACTGACCGGTAACGGGATTGCAACCCTCGGTGTTGCGCCCGTACTATCCATAGGTGAGAAAGTTTGGTTTTTCTGTTGGCTTTAAGTCATATAAAAACTTGGAAAGGTAAGCAATAGGGGGGAAAAAGAGGTGAAAGTAAAAGAAACCAGTGCAAATGAATCCATTATGTAGGCTCACAATGATGGAAAAAAATAAGCCAAAATATCCATTTGAGGGAAAATGACTAATGCAATATAATTAAGAATTTAGTAAACAAATCAAGAACTGAGGAAAGGTCTGAAGGGATCCAAAGCAAACAAATTCTGTATTCAGGAAAAGAAAACAGATTCAAACACAGAAGAGAGAAAACTGGGCACACCTAACTACCAGTTAGTTTCTAAATTCCTTATCTGGTTTGTCTGTGTTGTTCCCAATATATTTTAGGAAGCGTTAAGTCAGACATGGGTTGTCTTCCAATAGATCGCTGTTTAAATGGATTGTTTTGAGTTTGGAGTGCTTTCTGCCATAGAAACAATATGAAAAAATTCCCAGGACAATAGGCATAACATCTGCTCTAATGTTAGCTCTAATAGTCCTATGTAGTCTGCCAGGTTATGGTTAAGTCTTTGTACCCTGACCTGTACAATCAGCCACCATTAAGACCACTTCCAATGAGAACACACATTCCTTGTCTTGCAGCAAGAGGTGAATCCAGTGGTATTAGAAATATAGTTCCTTGTTCTCCTCCCTGAATTGAAGTTGACACTGCCACGGTTCAATGCGAGGCGGTGCTTGGTGTTTTCCCTGTTTTTCTGGACTCTTGCTCTTATGTTACATGGTAAAGGCCCATCGTTTATACAGAGTGCCTTCGTCAATCTGATGCTCACAGGTCAGAGAATGCCAGGAACACCAAATCATAACCAGTTAAGTTGTTTTTTTCCCCCTCTGAAAGTCATGGGCTTCCCAGGTGTCCTTCATATGGTAAAGCCTCATTAAACATTCACTAGTTTCCAATTTCATTATTTTAAGCATATACCATGAGGTATTTTGCTAGGCACTGTGGATCAAGTCCTGTACTCAGGGAACTTGGACATTAGTGGGCAATATGAGTGTCTTTATCTTGAAATAGAGGAACTAAGGCTTTTGGCTTGTTTAACTTACATATTGTAATAGATTGTTGTTAATTTTTTAAAATGTTAAAATTGTATTTATTCTCTAGGAATATAGACTAAAAGGTCTTTATCTGAAAAAATTTGTAAGAATTATTTTAATGTATGCCAAGTTTTCTCAAACTGATTTTCTTGGTATTTTACTCCAAACTAGAAATATGATGTTTGAAGAAAAAAAATTAACAGAGACATTAAAAAAAATAATTTTAAGTTTTCTTCCCACCAGTTTTTCTTAAACTTTTGGTACCTGCTGATACTTTCCTAGTATATGATGGTAACTGAAATAGCAAAAATTTATATATAATTTTCAAATTAATTTATTAAATATTAACATTCCAGATTGTTCCTCAAAGAGCACCAAACTTATCAGAATCCTGCTTTAGGAGCAAATTGAGAACTCTTGGTGTATGTACTTGACAATTTTAAACAAAGCATTTATTTTAAAGTATTCCTCAATTCAGAATTTTAAGCTATTAAGATGGACCTTTGTACAATGAATTTTAATTTTGAAAGTTTTACCTTTCAGAAGAAACAATATTTTATTAACTTTCTTAATCAATAGTCATTTGCTTATTAAAACTGAAAATTTGTTTCACCAATAAATTTTGTTTTTTCTTTTAGCAACTGGTGACAGTAGAATGTTGGGCTCTGGTTTCCTACTGCTAGTTCTACCATGGAGTTGTATAACCTGGCATAGAGCACTGCCTGAGCCTCAGTTTCCTCATCTATCAAATGGAAATAATGATAGCTTCTGGGACCTATTAGGAACTCGAGTTATGTCATTTTTCCTTTCCCTGTTTGTTCAGATTCAATACAATGACTGACCACTGCCTGAGCCTCAGTTTCCTAATCTATCAAATGGAAATAATGATAGCTTCTGGGACCTAGTAGGAACTCGAGTTATGTCATTTTTCCTTTCCCTGTTTGTTCAGATTCAATACAATGACTGAAAAGAATTGCTTATCTGTGCCTGTAAACTGATTGAAATCTCTTATCCTTAGTGTAATTGTTTTGTTTTTGTTTATTTTTAAAGTACTATTTAAGGAATTAGAAGGTACCAGAGTTAAAATAAGCCTCAGGGATCCCTTCAACCTTCTCATTTTACCAGTTCAGAACCATTAACCTAGAGAATTTAAAGTGTTCTGTTCTTGATAGTTCCTAGTGGATTCCTGCCTTCTAATCCGACTCTCTTTCCTCCCTAAATAGCTTTTAATATTATATTGACCCAACCAACTGTAAACAATGTGCACTAGGCTGACTGCTCAATAATTTGCCCCAGATTGAAGCAATTTGCTATTATCTCTAGGCTCAGATTTGCAGCATACTATTAACAAATATTTGGGTTGCTCCTCCTTACCTTTAGGACAGAACTTCTATTGTCCAAACTTATATTTTTATAATATACAACATCACTTAGGAAAAGAACCCTCCAACTGCCAAAACAAAGAAATAGAAAAACAAAACAAAACCCTCCAAATCACTTGATCATTAGAGAGTTTGATAGCATTTAAAAGTTTATCCATATGGGTTTAATTCCTACTGGCTTTATGATATTTTTTTCATTTCTGACAAATATGTATATATTTTCTAAATTTGATTGTGTGCAATGAAAATAAACAAAGAGATCTGCTAATTCCTCTACTAAATTCCAGAACCCATCCTGGCCAAATGGATCACACTGAAACTAGTTCACTGGCTCAAGCTGAAAAGAAGAGGCGGCAAGACTGTGCATTGCAAACTGGGCTTTTTAATGAAACCCGTATGGTTGCAGTTACAGTATTACCAGATAGCAACATGCCGAAAGGGAAATTATTCTACAACCATGTGCTCCTTGGTAAGCATAAAACCAAGATCTAGGTTAATTTGCTTTCTCTTAATTTCTACATTCTGTGTAGGAATCCATTTTCCCCCCGAGCAATTCAAAAAAGATTTTCACTATTAAACACAATAAAGAGCATAAAGCAATATCAATTTGAATCTTGAAAATTAAAGAATTGATGGGTATGCCCCTAGTATGAATCTGGCCCTCTCATCATGGGCAGGAGTGGTGACAATTAGCTTCGTATCTCATGAATATTCTTAATAAATTTTTAAAAAAAGAAAATTAAAGCATTTCTTAGAGTACTATAGGGGTGTTTGGGGTTTTTTATATTTTGCTTTTTTTGGTCTACAGTTTATCTTTACTGTGTGGCCTATGTCATTTCCTACCTTGAACAAAACAAAACAACAAAAGAAACTTTCCTTGTCTAACAGAAAGGTTAAAAAGTATTTATATGGATAGCACAAACAAAAAAAACCAAGTGGTAAGAATGCATTCAGAAATACAAACCTTTTTCATTTTTTCAGAAGCTGGCTTTGTCAAAACAGTTGGAAAATGTTTGGGAAAACTAAGATATATACTATACCTCAGAATACATAGAGTGATCATTATAAAATTTTTGTATATTCCAATTTACCTGTTATGATTCTGAAATCTGACTGCAAATGATTGGAAATAAAAACAAAACAATATACTGGTGTTTTTAGTTTGTTAAAGAAATACTCACCATATGACCACATTTGCTTTGAAAACATTTTAAATATATTTTCATATT